CGGCCGTCCAGTGCTTTCTGCATTCTGTTGAGATTTCTATCAGACTCGATGAATTATTTAAATATAATTATCAAATCCTCCTAATAATTTCTATCATGTACATCATTGCTTGAACGGGCTTCTAATTCTCTAAAGTGAGCGTCTTGGTGATAAATAAATATTTGGTTTATTTTATCTTCAACATCATCACTTGATAAGACACCGGGGGTGTTGAAACGAAATAGCTATTTTTGTAGTTATTTTATAACATATTTATGTTATAAACTTTTTTAAAATAAATAATTATATATATATATATATATATATATATATGATTCTCAAAATGTGTGTGAGTATATATGTGTGTGTATGTGATTGGATGATGTTTATGAGTCCACAGTTTTCATCCCATTTCGAAGAAATTTTTTGCTTGATAGCTAATTCTTCAGTGCCGGTTTTTGAGTTCAAATTAGTTAAAAAAAAATTAGAACCTTGAAGGTAAATAATCGAAAAAACTAATTTTTTACACTTTTGCGCAAAAAACAAAGGCAAAATTTTATGTCTGTAAAAGCAACGTGCAATCAATTTAGAAAGTTGAAATCCAACGCAAAAGGTTATTAGAATTATAAAATAAAATTATATTATAAATAAAAATTATCGTATATTATTATTATGGCGGTACATGAAAAAGGTTTCTTCCTTGCAAGATTGAGAACGCAAAAAGGAGCCTTTTCAGCACCCCCCATTCAGATTGTTAACCCCTGTTTGGGGATGTGCCTCAGTTGCACTCAATTGTGGGAAATAGATTCATATTACTGCACACCACTGCAAATTACCTAATCTGTGGAAAAAATAGAAATCTGTTACAGCGTCACTCCGGTGACGCTGTAACAGATGACCATATGGTGAAAAGAAAGGAATGTAACAATGACCATATGGTGAAAGAAAGGAAACTAAAGCGTTTGATTCAATTAATTTGCACAGGGGGTGTAAAATTACAGAGATGGGAAGGAGACCGAAGCTGAAAGGTCGGGTCAGGGCTGATAATCGGGATGATTTTTGGAGGATTTTGTGGGATGCGTGTAAGAGTGTAATTCTAAAATAGAAATCGATTACACCCTGTCACTCCAGTGGGTCTAAAACTGACCGTACGGTGAAAGAATGGAAACTAAAGCGGTTGTTTCAATTAATTTGCACTGGGGTGTATATTTTGTTTAAGTGTATATCTTAATTTTCAGCCGAACTAAGAGACGAATGAAAAATGCAAAACTCTCTCACGTATGAGCTGAACCGTAGGTATTAACAGTGAAATCAATTCAGACGAAAATCCTCGTTGTTGGTACTTTTGCACTTTAGATCTGAAACAGCTTGATGAGCAGACGTACAACAGCTAACTAGCAGGGAATTCGATAAAGTTACGTATGCGAAAGAATACATCGATAAAACGAGAGAGAAAGAGAGTAAGAAAGAGAAAAGGGAAGAGAGAAAAGTGTAGATTGAAAAAAAAAAGGAAAAAAAGAGGTAAAAAAAAAGAAAGAAAAAAAAACGAAAAGAGAGAAAGAAGTCGTACTTATAAGAAAAAAAAAACATTCAAAAAGAAAATCAACGATAAATCAATTTTGTCATATAAGCAGTTAGAATGAGACGGAACGTTAACTACTACTTAAAATTAAAAGAAAAAAAAAGTTGTGTGGCGTGTCTGGATAGAAACGTGATGCAAAATCCCGCCTTTGGCGTTATCGAATGCCAGTTCTTTGGTTTGTTTTAGATAAAAAGTGCGAAATAATTCTTCCGGTCTTTGTAGGCTCATGGCTAGAACTCTAGTTGGTCTCTAAGCGAAACGAAAATATTATTGATTTCTGAAATGAGGCGGAATAAGGAATTAAAAAAAATACTGAAATCACAAGAGGACTGGTTAAAATGATTTGTATATTTTATTAGAGATTGGCATAAAAGTAGCTAGTGCGGAGGGCTAAGTGGGGTATCCTGTCGAAAACTAAAGAGGCCTCTGGTTCAGGTTAGGAAACGGCAATGGTAATTTTGAAGAAATAACTCTGAATTTCCCATTTCACTCCATGGAACTTCAAAACCACACTTTAAATCTTATTCAGACAAGAATCCAATTCCAGCCAAAAAACCGATTTGGGCCGAAACTCCGATTTGGGCTGAAAATTCCAATTCAGGCCGAAAATTCCAATTCAGGTCGAAACTCCGATTTGGGCCGAAATTCCGATTTGGACCGAAACTCCGATTTGGACCGAAACTCCGATTGGGTTGAATTTCCGATTTGGGCTGAAATTCCGATTTGGGCTGAAATTCCGATTTGGGCCGAAACTCCGATTTGGATCGAAACTCTGAAAAGACCGACACTCCTATTTGGGCTGAAATTCCGATTTGGGCTGAAATTCCGATTTGAGCCGAAACTCCGATTTGGGCCGAAAATTCCAATTCAGGCCGAAAACTGAGTTCTTCAAATCACAAACTCTGTGGAACTTCAAAACTTCACATCACAAAACCGCTCATTCTAACTGATTCTTGTCATTTTTAAGAAATAAAATTGATTTCCTCAATTCGCAAAGTTTTGGAAATATTTTGAACTGAGTTTAAAACAATTTTTTTTTAAATTCACTCAATATAAATTAAAAACTTTTAAAATCATTAATTTTTTCAGTTATTATAAAATTTGAATGTTTAAATGTCCCCTCCTTATCCGGACACAAATCCCAATGTTGGATGTTCAAGCGCCAAATGAAGGACAGATCTCCAATCCCGGGATCATCATGATTCTAAAAAGGCTTAATATGTCTATGTCGAACTAGTGTGTCCGGAGTTAGAGGTGGGCGCAGATACACAAACGGACGGGCAGACAGAATTTGTCGTTTATGGATTTCCATAAGATGTATTGTTTACCATTTTTTTCAGGAAAATAGTTTTTTCGTGTACCGTAGGGACAATGGAGTAATGGATTGCGGCTCGGATTGAGGAATTGGAGAGCCGAGTTCGAATCACAGTCGAATCCATTAAGTTCACTCTCTGATAATACCCTTGGGGAAGTTATGATCCCTTTTTTTTTCTCCCACCAGCTATGGGTAAAGAACAGGACAGACCGACAACTGTTCTACCGCAGAAAGAAATGGCAACCTACTGCGGGAAAAAAAATCTGCTTCGTCAGTCATGTATCGAAAGTGTATAACGCATGGCACATAACTGACTGAGATGTTATCGGTCTTTCCAGCGTTGATGTGTCTTGGAGGGGGGGGTTCTTCCTAACCTTTTATTTGAAGTAGAGTGGAATGTCTACATTTTGGTTACTTCATCTTTGAGTTCTTGTGACATCCATTTTAGCTGTTGAAAGTCTTCAAATGATGTAGTTTCTGTTTTCCTGCACATTTCCATTTTTTGTGATTCTGTAGCGCCAGACAACAAGGTTTAAAGAAGTGTGGCCTTGAATGAGTTGCTCAGCTGTCCTACACTGCCATCAATACTTGAATTCAATCAATATCAGTCTCAAGAGTCACTCAAGGTAGAGGGTTACTGTTAAGTTAAAATGGCATTGACGAATCGGGTATAGCTGTTATCACTCTCTCCAGTGTTGATCGGGGTCCTTCGTAGGCTTCCATATGAATAAATGCGAAATTGATTGTAGACAACGCTCAAACCATTTAATATCAGTATTATATATTACCAATTTCTACCCAATATCAGTTTTCAGGTTTAACTAATTTGCATATTAATTTTTAAAAAGTATAAATTCATTAAATAATTGTCATTCATTACTGTTCTTTTATTCAAGGATTGTTTTGATTTTCATATCAAAATAGTTCTGTTTAGGAATATCGTTTTATATGGTGCAGAAAAGTGTTTGAATTTTGCATTTTACTTGACCTTCAACAAGTTGGCATCTATTTGTAAAACTTTCCTTAACTATAGAAAGCTTACCCCCCACCCACCTGACTAATTAATTTCTTTTGTCTTTACAGTCATATTCTTTGAACAAATATTTTGAACGTCCACAACCCTTTCAAAATTTCATAGATAGGGAACATTAATCCCATAGAAAAACAACTAATTTTTCTTAGAAAAATGACCATGTTTTTCATTCATTCAAATACATGTTTATTTCTGTCAACGCCTCTTAAATGTTATTCAGTTTCAACATTTGTTTAAAATGGCTAAAATTCTAATATTTAGCTATCTGAATAAATACAAATGTTTTCTTTCATGTATACAACCAATTTATGATTGAAATGTTGATTTAAAACTTTTGTTTCAAAGATTTCAAGTAGTGAATATATATTTGCAAAGCGATAGCGAGCGGGCGAAGCCTGCTAGTTGGGTATAAAGGTGAAGTCTACAAATCCCAAATCAAAAACAGAGTTCAAAAACTAAATTATGACCCAGAATCATCCCCCTCCAAACTTTCTGATGAAGCTATATAAATAGAGAAACATGTCAAATTTATAAAGATTCCCAACCAGTTTTTCTTCATTGTATTATATCCATTTATATCACCCTGCCGAATTTCGTCCGAATCTTCAACTCACACAGTCGGTCTATAGAGACAAGCCAATTAACTATCGCTCATCGCTAATCATTCATCGACTGGTATACCCCCTCCAAACCATCAAGATATTGATTGTCAGATATTCTGCATTTACTTTTCTTTTATCACATTAGAAAGAAAAGAGAGCCGAGAAAAGAGATTAAAAAAACGCATGATGCAACATTTGCGTCTATTTTTGGCAAGTTTACCTGCAGTGTACTAATGCACCTTTTAAAAGCTACTCTGAGCTGTGAGAACATGCCACACTCTCGACTCCACCCAGATATGCTCGCTTACTCCTTAATTTGCGTTCAACAATGGAGAAGAAGAATACCAGCTGAAATGAAGGAGACGCCCATAGAGACAAAGAGTAAGTATTAACGTCTGCCGAGAGCAGATGTTAACATTAATAACTTAAAGGTGAAAATTGTGTTTTGCTTAAAAATGTTTTACACGAAGCAACAGACTCTGTTTGACT